CACAAGTACTAAAGGTTTGTTCAGTCCATAACTAAATCAGATGTACACATTACAACTTAAACAAAAACAGCCGCTTGAGTGATTTTTGTAATTGAATGCAACCTGAATATTCGCCAGGAGCCAATATAGTACTTCGTTAAAGTTTTATGTCAAATTAGGTTTTTAAAATGTTTCAACTTTCACCGATGCATATAAGCTTTGCAAATTCACAAGTATTCACTTCTTTGCATTGCCTTTGTAAATAATCGTGCTGAAAGAAAGGTGTATTTGTGTTTGGTCTGAACACAAAATAAAACTGACATTATTGTTTTGAGCCTTATCCAATCCAATGTACACAATGGGATGCCAGCACGTCCAGATTACATTGGTTAGTAGCACATTTCAGATACATGTAGCTGGACCCTAAGGCAATGCAGCAGAGGATATGTACTTGAGGGAAACAAATTAAAGGTGGGGTAGGTAAGTTTGAGAAACCAGCTCGAGTGCGCTAGAATTTGAAAATACACAGCCGGAAAAAATCTGCCACTTCCTTACAGAGCCCCTCCTCCAACACACACGAACGCGCACATGACCAATGAGGGCACGAGATAAGTTTGTGCACAGATGGAAGGCTGACAGGCAGGTAGGCCATCCAGTTATTTTAGCCGGGCCGGCTAAAATGATTGGTCGTGCTTTTTACAGTATTACGGCTTCCACAGATGACATTTTTTTATGGATTTTTTGTCAAAGCACTTAAGATATTCATTGCTATCGGGATGTTAAGAGCATTCCATGGAATATAACAAAAAGTGTTTCTTGAGCCGGTTTCTCAAACTTACCTACCCCACCTTTAAGTTTTTATGTACGATATTGTGTAGATACTATCCATACAGAAAGATCTATTCCATCCTGACATAGCAACATTAGAAACAAGATAGAGATATTTCTTGTTGCAAGTTACAACCACTTAACTGAGTCTTACCACGATCCCTGTGGAGGGGCTGAGGTCCAGCTCGATGATGAAGCGGTACCTCCGGGCCAGGAAGGTGGCTCGAGTGGACGGCACCAACATGTGGGGGTACGTGGTGGGGGGGAAATCTGTCTGCCATCCTTTGGGTAAGATACTCAGCAAGTCCAGCTCGTTCTCCGAGTTCAGCTGTAAATGAGTCAAACACAGTATCAGTATCGTATTATTTGAAATATTTAAGAGGATCAGGAATATATGAAACTGTAACAAAAATATTTTTCCACCTTCGGGTCATCTTTTTTTAACTTTGTGCTTTTTGTAGACTTTTTGGTTTATTATATTTTAAGGAATGTATCAAAACAAATTGCAACTGCATTGAATTCGGGGATGCCACAGTACCCCTATAAAGCAGTTTGAAGAGGCCCTATTGTGTTTTTTGGAATATTACCTTTAAGGGGCTTTTCCCTCAACTGCCTAAAATATTACCAAAATAATATACCAGCATCATTAGCCCTTTAACAGTGGCTTCGAAGTAAACAGTAAACACCTTCACATGACTTTGGTCTTTGTGATCAACTCACCAGTTCAGGCTTTGATGCTGGCCAGATAACTTGGTTCAGTTTACCAAGAAACCAGGCCAGACGCACATTCCTGGAGATGCGATACTCCTCCTTCATCAGGAGGTAGATTTGGTCCGCCTCCTCCACCTTCCAGTGACAGACACATAGAACATTGTCAGCATTAGGAGCAGTACAGTAGAGTATGTTTTGCATTATTAGGGTGGGAATTGGCAAGTTCTTTGATACCGACTAAGAATACAGCACTGATTTAGCCTCTGTTATTGCATCAACTAATACATCTTATTAACATTAGTCTTCCTGTAGTAAATCTGATGTAAACTCACATGTTGACATTGACACTGACGTTCAAGTTAAGATTCATACTCAAAACTGAAATGTAACTAAGAACAACTGTGCAAATGCTGTACTTAGGTACAATGTTGAGGTACTTGTACGTCACTTGAGGATTTTCGTGCTATGCTACCTGATACTTTTACTTTACTACATTTTGGAGGTCATTTTTTACTTAATTTAAAAATATTAGTTACTAGCTACTTTGCAGGAATGGACCTCTAAGACTATGAATCAACCAATAAATCAGTATGTATTATTATATGTTAAGCTACATAGCAGTATATCAAGTCCTTTCAATAATCCCTACCTTTACCAAGTGAACATTGACATAAATGCATTCATAATAATCCTAATAGAAAAATTGTATATGTTTTAATCTGATATGGGCAATAGCCTACTAGGAAATGTGTACTTTTTTTGTTTGTACTTGAAGTATATATTGATGCCAATCCTTTTTGTATTTTGTACTTAAGTACACTTTTGAATGGAGGAATTTTACATACAGATAGTATGTTTACAATGTAGTATTAATATGTTTGACTTTATTTCTTACACCTCTTCTCAAACTGAATGCATTTCTTAAATGTTAAAATGCACTACAAAACTGTAGTTACCAAGGCACTGCATGTCTAGGCTGCATTCATCAACACTATGCTGCAGAGCCAGACACACAGGAACTGCTTTTAACTTAAATGTAACTGTTAGCTCGAGACTAACGTGGCTCGTGCTCACTTGCAGCTTGGTTGTTATTGCTAGCTGTCGAGCTAACGTACAGCTAACACTAGTTTCTATACGTCAAGGGGTGTTAGCAAAGCTCTATTTGCTTGGGACTGCTCATACTTAGGCTTTAATTGAAACAGGACTTTGTCTGCTGACTTTTAGGGCAAACAATTTGATTAAAAAACGTGCTCTTATTTTCCCAAGATATGCAGCCTCTGTTGTTCTTTCTGCAGCCAAAAGGTAAAGGTACCTCATTGTCCGGTCTCTCTGCCATGCCGTGAATCACATAGGGACTGCCTCAGCTGACCGGTATTCACTTTGGTTTGTGGAATATAATCCGCCCAATACTTGTTTATCATTTGTCTTGTCTGGTCTTGTCAGGTGTTCGCAGAGTAATGTCAGTTTGGGTGACAGTGCATACAGTTTCCGGTCAAATCTTTCAAAATAAAACGTATTTGACCTACACGGACATAAGCATATTTCAAATGATATACTAATGTCACAAATTGTGACATTAGTATATGACATTAGTGTATTTCCATGTAATGCTACTTTTTCTTCACTACATTTAAAAGGGAAATAAGGTATTTTTACTCTATTATATTAAACAGCTCTAGTTACTTTTCAGATTTTGCATTTAAAAAACATGTGATCAACTTTTTACATAATGCATCTCTAAAGATGTAATTACCGGTCTAACTGTTTCACGTAAAAAAAAAAGTAGAAGTATACAACATATTACAAAAATGTGTTTGTGTGTACAACAGCAAAATGCTGCTTGATGCAACTATTTTATTAATCTTATATTGTCATATATAATAATATATTTATCACATATGAAGGGCCATTTTATGCAGAACTAGTACTTTTGCTTTTTATACGTTAAGTACATGTTCTCTTGAGTAGGACTTTTATTTGTAATAGAGAATTTTTACATAATGTATTGCTACTTTTATTTCAGTCAAGGATCTGAGTAGTTATTCCACCATCTGATCTTGATACATTAATTTAATATATATGATTCTGAAATGGGCCTTTAGCCATAATGAGGACTTTTACTATTGGAACTTTAAGTATATCTTGATGCCAATATTCTTTTGGATACAGGACTTTCAATTCTAACATATACTACTTTTACTTAAGTAAACAATCTTCTTTCACATCTGCACAATGGGAACACCCTTTATATAGTCTATGGGAACACCCTCACAATTTCAATTATTTGTATAGCATAAGTGAGTTGAAGTAAATATAAGTAATAAATTCAGCGTTTTAATTAAAGACAATTCAAATGTTGAATGTTTTTGAGGAAATATATGTTTTTTTAATTGGTTTGGCCTTTATCAGAATATAACTTTTGAAATGTCACCATAGAAAAAGGGCTGCTCGGAATGATAAAATACACACATTCTAAAATCCATTTATTAATTTCAACAGAAGTGTTGTTATAGTAGGCCTAGTGGTGCTACATTTTCTGTCACATTATTGATAACACATCTTCAATGTCTAAAGACTTTGTTTATTTTTTAAATGGAGGATGTGTTGTAGCATGCTTTTATACACTTAAATAATACTCTTAAATATGGTATTTTTGTCCTTATTTTCAACGTTTCGTCCTAACAATGAACTTGCATCTAACGGTTATGTTTCATTAGATGTTATTATTTATATGCTTTTATTTTGGAAAGACTTTCATTAAACTTCCGTGATCCTTGTTTTTAAGTGACATGTGATCAGGAAGCGTCACTGCTATATCACTTGTGTTCAGTTATACACCACTGTGGAATTGTTGCAAGAATATCGAAACTATCAATTTCTCTACGGACAAACTGAATGTTTCATATGCTGTTTTATTTTTCACAGTTTAACCAATCTTAGTACAATACAATATTAGTTACATAATCAGTATAATAACATTTTATTTGAACAGAAATACAAATATATATGATATTCAGTGATATGAAAAGTTTTTATGATAATATTCTTTACTTCAAGTGACAAGGGATTTTTTTCGCCCAGAGTTATGCTTCCCAGGTCCCTTTCCAAATATTTACGTCATGTGTAATGTTCTTGTTCAGACAGGATATTTGTATATTTTAGATCTCCATGTATTGTGATATATATAATCTGATTTATATAAACGCATTGGTCTTTAATATGTGTATACATTTCCATATTGACTAATTAGGCTGCTGTTTTCCAGTTTAAAGTGCAATAGGAAGAATGCTGTTGGGTCATGAATTAGAACAAAATATGATAACATAGATTCAAATAATGAAACAGTGACAATTGGTCAAATATGTTCTTTCGTTTATAGTTTTGATGCAGGAGGTGCTGCCTAACCATGGATGTATATGCCTGACAGTCAACTCTCAGGGCAAAAATGTCGCTTGATGATGACGTAGTGCAACATGCGACGAGGAGCCGTGTTCTCCACGTTGTTTACAAGAAGGTGCTGCCAGTGTGATTTCAACTTGCTTTATTGCTCGGTTTACTCTTAAATCATGGAGAAAAAATCCACCGGGAATAAACCTAAACCTGCGAAGATGAAAGACAGCGCAGACCCCGTCAGAAACTTCGAGAAATGGAAGAAAAAATACAACAAGACGAAAGCACGAGTGAAGAGCGACAGACCCCCAAAGAAGCCTGAGTGGCAGGTCGAAAGGGAGTATATCGAAAAGCTAGTCAGCAGGTATCCAGACATAAACAGCAAGGAGGCTGTCAGGTTTTCAGACTTCCCCATTTCAAAGAAAACGTTGTTAGGTTTGCAGGGGATGCAGTACCGACAGCCCACCGAGATCCAGAGGCAAACTATCGGCCACGCTTTGCAGGGTAAAGATGTCCTCGGCGCCGCTAAAACCGGCTCTGGGAAAACTTTAGCCTTCCTCATACCGGTGCTGGAGTGTCTGTACCGCCAGCAGTGGAGCTCAGTGGACGGCCTCGGTGCCCTCATCATATCCCCCACCAGAGAGCTCGCCTATCAAACCTACGAGGTCCTCCGCAAGGTGGGCAAGAACCACGAGTTCTCCGCGGGGCTCATCATCGGTGGTAAGGACCTGAAGAGCGAGTCCGAGAGGATCCACAACACCAACATCGTGATCTGCACCCCGGGACGCCTGCTCCAGCACATGGACGAGACGGCCACCTTCCTCGCCTCAGACCTCCATATGCTTGTTCTTGACGAGGCGGATCGCATCCTGGACATGGGGTTTGCGGATACCCTCAACGCCATTGTGGAGAACCTCCCCAAGACCAGGCAGACGCTGCTGTTCTCCGCCACGCAGACCAAATCCGTCAAAGACCTGGCCCGCCTCAGCCTCAAAGACCCAGAGTACGTGTGGGTCCACGAGAAGGCCAAGTTCAGCACACCTGCCACCCTGGAGCAGAGCTACGTGGTGTGTGAGCTCCACCTGAAGGTCAACATGCTGTTCTCCTTCATCAGGAGCCACCTGAAGAAGAAGATCATCGTCTTCTTCGCCTGCTGCAAGGAGGTGCAGTACTTGTTCCGGGTCCTCTGTCGCCTCAGACCTGGCATGCCCATCCTGGCTCTGCATGGCAAGCAGCAGCAGATGAAGAGGGTGGAGGTGTACAACGACTTCCTCAGAAAGCAGAACGCGGTGCTCTTAGCCACAGACATAGCCGCCAGAGGCCTGGACTTCCCCACAGTCAACTGGGTGCTTCAGTTTGACTGTCCGGAGGATGCAGACACCTACATCCACAGGGTGGGCCGCACCGCCAGGTACAAGGAGGGGGGGGAAGCCCTCCTGCTGCTGCTGCCCTCTGAGGAGAAGGGTATGATTGGACAGCTGCAGGAGAAGAAGGTCCCCATCAATAAGATCCAGGTTAGACCCCCAACATCCACAGCATCTCCATACACACACACATTGAGCAGATCAAAACAAACCCATCTGCAATTTTTTGTGATCTGGTAATACATTTATACGCAGTGGTTTGATGTTTTATTTAATCAACACTGCATTAACACTGGTCATCAAAAAAATGTGATTACACGTCATACATTACAAGTTACAACAGATTGTTGCTCTTGAATCTTTTCAATATGTCATTTCTCAGTGCTGTTTGCAGAAACTGAAAATGATCAGAGGTCAGTGACCAAACTTCTTTCTGGAGTTATATGAGTGACATCGAATTGGCTGATTAGTAAGATAATGTCAATATTGTATTTGGCTTGAAGCCTTTCAACAGTGAAACAAAGTGCTTTAAGCATACTAAGAAATATGTTTTATACATTTCTAGGAGTGATACAAGCTTAGTATGTATTACACTGAGATATTCCCCTAAGCAGTCTTGGATGAAAACACCATTCCTTTAAATCATTTCACATCAGTTTTTCTGAGAAATGTGAGTTAGTTTGTGCTTTTTATTGTTAACTTAGACAACATTATATTATATGCATATGTTATCTCGATATATAGATTTTCATTGCAATAAGATACCATTTATAAATGATGTTATTGGTCAGAAACTCCTCAGGATGCCTTTAAATGCAACACAAGCAATATACAAGTGTTGGATACAAAAAAAGAGCAGTATACAACATGTATTCATCAGTTTTGTTTCCTGACTGATCGCAGGTGAACCCAGAGAAGCTGCAGAACATTCAGCAGAAGCTGCAGGCCTTCCTGGCCCAGGAGCAGGAGCAGAAGGAGAGGGCTCAGAGGTGTTTCGTTTCCTACCTGCGCTCCGTCTTCCTCATGAAGAACAAAGAGGTGTTTGATGCCTTCAAACTCAAGCTCAACGATTACGCTCATTCTCTAGGCCTTGCCGTGGCTCCGAGGGTTCGCTTCCTGAGTAAAGCCCAGGCACAGAAAGAGGAGAAAGAAGCAAAGAGGGAGGAGGAGGAGGAGGAGGAGCAGTCTGAGGAAGAGGTGGAGCTGAAGAGCTTTAAGGCCCAGCTGAAGGGGAACAATCCGGAGGAAAGTCAGAGCTCGGAGTCAGAAGAATCAGGTGATGATGAGGAAGGTGGTAGGGAAGGAGATGAGGATCAGAAGGTATTAGGTCTGGGTGCAGACAGCGATGAGGACGAAGATGATCTAAGAGACTTGGACTTGCTCACAGTCAAAAGAAAAGACGTGTTCAATCTGACGGGGGATGGCGAGAGTTCAGATGAACCTGACGAGGACTCTAATATGAAAATGGAAACGGAGACGAAGTTTAAAGAAGCCAAAAAGATCCTCAAGAGAAACTTCCAGGTCAACACCAAAGTGACGTTCAGTGAGGAAGGACAGGCCGTGCAGACGTGGCCCCCTGTGCAACGGGCAGTGACTGCTGATGATGAAGACGAGGGGGTTTCAGGGATCAACATGGAGAAGGCCAGGGAGAGGCTGAAGCGCGAGGACCAGGAGTTCGACAAGCTGGAGTACAGACGCAAGGTGAAGGCCAAACACACGGAGAAGAGGCTGAAGGCCAAGGCTGCCAGGAAGGAGACCAGCAAGCACAGAAACAAGTCTGACGATGAGGAAGACGAGGTGATTGCTTACCTGGCCAATCACAGCGACGATGAGTTCGACCCAAGCTCCCTGCCAGACCCTGACAAAGTGAGACCTGACGAGGAGGAGGAGGAGGAGGAGGAGGAGGAGGTGACAGCAGCCAAACGGCAGCACAGCAGCGGTGAGGAAGAGGAGGAGCACACAGTGGGGAAGAGGAAGAAAGTGAGGCAAGAGAAGGAGGATAACACACCCCTGGACACTGGCCTGTCTCTGGCTGAAGACGAGGAGTTAGTCTTACATCTGCTGGGAGGCGGGAGGTAGACAGGAAAGAGGAGGCGGGGCTTAAAGGAGGAGGCAGGGCTTAAAGGAGGCTTTTCCAACAATAAACTGGTCTTTTAAATAAAGTTGAATTACAAAATCAAGAGTGAAATGACTAGAGGACATTTTTGAGTCTGTTTGTAAACCTTGATGACATAATTCTCAGGGTTTGTTCTTCATAATGAACAACTGGAGTAGTTACTCTGTTTAATGGCTCTTACATTTCTAACAGAGTGATGCAGGAACAAGTCGATAAACCTTAGAATCATTCCGTTTTTTTTTTAACATGTTATTGATTGGACGCCTGTGATGTTTCCGTTTTGTTCAACAACCCAAAATATGCCAGTAATTACCCCATTCGTGATTGTCCAAAGCTTTCATGTGTTTAAAAAAAATAAAGGCGGTTGCTAACAAATGTTTAAATGAGACTGCTTAATGTCAGCATGGCCAACACTAGCTGCTTTTAGTTAGCCGTGGTGACATGAAGTCATGCGACCGTCATTTAGTTGAGTTTATAGCCTAACATTAGCTTTTTACTTCTGGCGATTGCATTTACACCTCTCGTCTGCAAAAGACCTTATTTTCTATGTATCAAAATCCAACAGAAAAATCCCATTTCTTTTTGTCGAGGGGGCCCTCACCTTGCAACGTTAACTTCCGGGTTGGCCTACAAAAACACTTCATCACTGCACTAGTCAAAACCATCACTGCCGCTTTGAGTTTAAAGTATAATGTTTGTATTTGTGATATAACAAAACCATTGACATTTTTTATTATTGTGAATGTTGACCCATCAGATGTTAGTAAAGCTGCAAAAGGAACAGAGGGTATGATGTCATTGAGTTTCCTCCTGGATGTTTCTTCCTTTTCAATCTGCAGTCTTGTGTAGAGCCTCTTATTTATCCTTCTCTCTTAAAGTTCTTCTATCAATTACCTTCATCATCAGAGGGCTTGTAATTATTGAAATGTAGTGAATACTTAACATGATCTAACCTTTCTTATGTTATATCAAAGTCATTTCATAACAGAATGCTATCGCCATTTTGGCAATAACTTGGCTGTAAAGTTATTCAATTAAATAAGTTGTGTTGCTGATTTAAGTGTTGAGTTCAATGCTTTTGATTCTGGGCAAAACATTATTGAGAGCTAAATTCATTTTATATGCATACATGTAAGATCTGCATCATTTCTGGATATTTGCCCAAACTGGCTGAAAACTTGCAGGTAGTATATTGTTGTTATAAAATATCATACAAATGATCAGTTTTAAAGGTTTTGTTCCTGCATAATATTTTTTTTTTATTGTTTATTTTCTAAGAAATAACGCATACCAATTATCTTTTGATTTACAGGAAACATTAAAAAAAATTGTATAATTGTAGCTTTTTATTTTCGAAGTGACAATTGAAAAACACTAAACTTTTTAGTAAAAATATGAATTTGTGCAAGAATTGCAGTAATGGAATAATACTTTGTCTTAGATTTACCTTGACACACACACACACACACACACACACACACAGAGAGAGAGCCGAGCTTAGGTGACACACAGAGCCAGAAGTACTTGTACTACTGTATAAGAGTTTTACACGATGTCTATCCTTTAAAAATCCACTAAAAAGTTATATTTGAAAATGCAGCCCTAATTTGTACATTAGCAGGAATATAGTACAATTATAGCAGATGAAATGATAGAAAGAAATGTGAATTCAAACGTGCAATAATATTTTTTTGTCACTTATCAATAAATAATCATAATAAATAATCTTGATCTCAACATAAATCAAAATACGCATGATCAACATTCCGGCCATAATTGTGCAGGATAATATCCTACTCTTTTCACTTTTTTCTATGGCAAAATTGCAAAGCAGCGGGTAGTAGAAATTACATTTTTTAAAGTGACGGAAATATTTAGATAATTGAAAATGTGTGTAAGTTGCAACATAAGATGTACATTAATAACAGTTTAATGTAACTATTATTTCATTTATTTGGTATGTGGTACTACAGTTAGAGGAGTAGGCTACATATCACATTATAACTTATTCAAAAGCAAATTCCTTTTATTTGTAAACCTACTTGGTAATAAAACTGATGCTGATCAAAAGGACTAATGGTGTTAAATTAAATCATATTTGGATAAAGTATAATTGTTCAGTTCACATTCATTCTGTCACAAAGCTTTAATTCACACATCATTTTATAAAATCGGTTATAAATCCTGTTTTTTTAGCCGAAGCAATTCATGGTTAGCCATTATTTCCTGTGTTCCCCAAATGCAGCACTGGTCCCTGATGAGTTCAGGCACCCCGCTCACCTCACGCCACTCCAAAAACACATCCAACAGGTGAGCTCGTGACTGACTGACTGACTGACTTCGTTGTTTCTCCTAAATTAATCCATTGGAAGGACTGAGTTATGATGGAATTGGATCCATTTTTCCAAACGGAATTTTAACAGTGATTCTGCGGGAAAAGTGTGTTCCCGAAGCAATAACGCCAAACTCAATCTAAAATGTTAGCCTAAAATAGCACGAGCTTACATTATGTTACATTCCTATAATGTTAAACGTGTTTATGTCAAACTTGGCCTTGTCTAAAGTTGAAACACTGCTTTCACACCAGTTAGTAGGTCGAAAACATAAGACAGAAATCCATTTTTACATATAGCCTACTTAATATTTTTACTTGGCTAAGGTTAGCCAATTTAGCTAATGTTAGCTAGTCTTCCGTGGTTAAAATAACTAAGTACATTTACTCAAGTATTGTATTTAAGTACTTTTTTGGCGTATTTGTACTTGAGTATTTCCACCTAATGCTACTTTATACTTCTACTCAACATTTCAGAGGCAAATATTGTACTTTTTACTCCATTACATTTATTTTGACACACAGGTGCACTACTATCATAGTACAATCTCTTGAAGCTACTAATCTAACCATAATAATATAATTCTGTGAAAAGATTATTCTGGTAACAAGTACTTTTACTTTTGATACTTTTACAAAAGTACATTTAGCTAATAAGTCATGCTGTACTTTATATAGTTTTGAAATAGGCCATTGTGAAAAAAAAAAAAATATTTGTCTTTAATACTTTTGTAAAGAGAGAGTACTTCTTCCAACAATTATATTCTTCTTTCAGTAGGAGTAGAGTAACTATACATTTGTGGTGAATTTGGAAGTTAAAATTACTTGAAGTTAATAAGCTGAATAATGTCAGTATTTCACGAGAGTCAGACTGGTGAAATGTCTTCACTCAAAACAAGGCATGTAAGGTCAATTTTCTATTTAGCGTAACCAGTGGTGGAAAGTAACTAAGTACAGTTACTCAATTACTGTACTTAAGTTCAAATTTCAGGTACTTGTACTTCACTTGATTATTTTCTTACTGTGCCACTTGTTATTTCTATTTCTACATTTATTTTATAGGTTTAGTGACTTTATTGGTGCAGATGTGTACACACATAATGAAGAATTTTTGAAATAGCTCATGTAAATTAAACAATCCAACATTCTAATTAAGTACATAAAACAATAAGTCCGAGACGGAAAGGTTTAACAACTGCAAGGTAATTCTTAGGAAACATTAGCAATGTGTACTTTTACTCCTCATACTATAGGTACATGTTCCTGGTCATACTTAAATACCATTTTAAATGCAGTACTTTTACTTAAAATATGTTTACAGTGTAGTATTATTACTTTTACTTAACTAATAGATCTAAATACTTTTCCCACCTCCGAGCGTAATGTTACTGTTGAGTTTTAAATGTTTTTTAAAGGGGTGCAGCTTGGGGAAATGTAGCATAGCTTAACGATATAACAATTGATAACGAAATAAGCTATGTCATTTATTGGATAATGTTTAAAATGACATTGGTTTTTTTCAGAAACAATTATGTCCACAAATAAAGTGGGTTTTGGACCCCCAAAGCTGGAGTCGTGTTGGGCATCAGGGGACGGAGACCACTCGGTTCAAGTGAAGATTGTACAGGTCCCAACCACATGTAACCCCAGCACTGTCATAGCCCCACCTAAAATCATCACCGCCAGCCAAGTCCACCAAACCACCTCCTCCACAGTGCTGACAGCCAGACACACTTCCTCTCCTTCTGTCATGGTGGTATCAAAGGTGATCGGAGGAGTGAGTGCTAAAATCCAACCACAGGTAACAAAAGCAGCTTTGAGCCAGGTTGCCTCCATGACCCAGGCCACAACCCAAGGAAGGACGGTGGTTATAACAGTACCCAGGGCAACGGGTCCTCAGCCAGTCATTGTGGCCCCCCGGATGCCACACACCACCTCAACACAGCTCCCTGCCAATTTCCAGATACCACCAGGTGAGTCGGCCTCTATATACCATTGCTTGTGGTCCAAATGTTTGCCCTGATTGGTGATGTTCTCTTCTATAATAATATAACTCATGTTTACAGATGTTAACATATATTTTCCCATCGAAAATACTAATCTCATAGTCTTTAGATTGTCACTGTGTCTCAATTTGGATACTTCCATTAATATACTTCCATGCAGAACACTATGTTCTTGTATAGTGTGTTTGACAAGGTAGTGTTGTTTTAAATGTCAGAAATGCAAGTGCTAAAGTTTGAATCATTCTGGTTAAACCATTCACGTTCTAACACTCAAGAAAATGTGTTTAAATAGAAAGGTGTTGGATCAAAAAGTAATTTATTTCTTAAATAATTCCCCAACTATGTTTGGTCAGCGATGTACACATACTTAAACTTCATCCATCACCCGTTTTTCAGGACAATCGTCAGTTAATTGCAGGTAGTGATTTCAGACCCTCCTTCTGGCAGGTATGATGTTGATCCGCAGCGAGAGTGGTCAGCTGATGCTGGTATCCCAGCAGGCTTTGGCACAGGCCCAGCAGGCACCAAGAGGCGTCGGTGGTCAAGCACCAAAAATACTGGTCCCTCAGGTATTTGGTGTACTGCTGATTTGATTTTATGCGCCTCGAGGCCGATGAAATCCATGGCTCAATGATTTACGTTTTCCGTGTTGTCCCATTCTTTTTGTTTGCAAATCTCAAGAATGTCAGATAGACATGAGTGTAAACTGCAACTTGACTGACTGAT